AATACGTTATTACAACAGAAATATTTTCTCGTTGTGACAAACGTTTTTACTTAAGATGACTGCGAATGGATTGAATGCATTGACTTTACAAATATTTACCGCGTCGATAGGAATATGTCGCATTGCACGGGTACGCGTGTCGACAGTGATGACAATAATGCCATGCGACGACGTGGTGAGATTTGTCAGTGCGAGTGCAGCACATTTGGCTGCGTCCAAATATTCGACAGGTTTTTAGAAACATATCTAGTTTTGCGCGAAAATTTGTCTATGAAGATTCGTCGAGAAAATTCATCCGAAAATCATAAATATACTTGCGTCACGGAAATGAGAAATGTACATCTGCGGAGGTTTCAATCAATTTTGAAAGTCAAGTCCTTTTTGATAGATATATGGGGTATCATTAATATTTGAATTGCAAACGTGTCTATTAGGCGCACTTGCATTGCTATGTGCAATAAATTAGATAATACGTTCTGTAATATGACAATTGACATTAAGATAATTATGGAAAATAGAGGAAAAAAATAAAAGTGTTTCGTTGCGGTCCGTCTGCAGTATTCTGTCTACATAATGCTAAAATGGTCTGAATATTTATAAAGCGTGTCGGCTTTTATGTGTGGATCCGTTTAAAATTGCTTTGTGCACATTTTTTTTTCTTCAATCTGGTCTTCGACATCGCGTTAGAAATTCATTAGATCTTTTAACAAATTAGGCAAACTGTTAAAAATAAAAGAATCTTTGGACATTCCGCACGAATATTTTTTATTATTCATGATATTCTATTATGACTGGATACATTATGTATTTATAACGAATAACAAAATATCAGTACATATATTTATTATATTTCGTGTTAACTCCCTTAAATTTCTATTTCAAATTCCTCTTAAATGGTACATTTATGATTAATAAAGTTTAATCAAGACCGTCGTTACTAACACGTGACTCTCTATTATTTCTCATTAATATCACCTTTCTTTATGATCAACAAGCATTGAGAATGCAACTTGGTTCAATTGATCTAATAGGAATTTATTATCGTTTATTACTGAACGCCTCATACGAAGCGTATATGTTTATGTTCTCGTATATGAAATTTACAATTCATATATTTTTGCCCGCTGTTGTTATCTCAGTAACAAAATCATAATAATGTGCATAGCATTTCACTTTAATGCGACCATAATGACAATAATTATTAAGCCTGTTGGATGCTTGAAATACCTGCTTTATCATATGAGAAAAATAGACGTTTATTTTATCTGAACGCATATCTATGCGTTTGCGTTTAAGTAGTCTATGCATTTATGCAGGTGAGATTGCACTCTCTCCAATTATCTATATCATAATAAAACTATTATACTTGAAATCGCGATAACGCTTCCGATGTTTAATTTGCCGTCCAGACAAAATAAGAATACTTATTAATCTTCACGAACGTTGTCATCCGGTTTCACTCCACTTTCTTCTTATGCAGACATATCTGCGTAAAGCGATATCCATATTTTTTAAACAATTTCGTGCGATTACGGTCGACAAGCCGTTAAAAATTAATAATACACTCAATCATTAAGCAAACTTGTAAAATATGCATCCTGCGTCGATCAGCAAGCGTGATATAATGAAGATTTTCTGCTAATTTTAGCACATGAAGTACATTCTCGTTTTTACATTCTCGCTCAAAGTTACTTTCATTCTATTTTTATACCTGTGTGGATCTATATCTTGAAAGTTTGATCATAATTTTTCGATTTTAAATTATGCAAACGATAAAATAATGATTGTGTTTCTTTCTCATTGAGATTGTCAAAACATGTTCTCGGTGGACGGTACGTGTAACCCTCTGTAAACGGAAAGGGCGATATTATTTGCGAGCGTTTTGTCGAGCTCGTTTTAATAACGTCGGCAGATATACACGAAAGAATTGGAAAGAATTTTTTTCATGTCGCTCCATTAATCTCTTTTCGCACGGGCTATTTATCCTAGAAGGGGTTGTCGCTATTTGGAAGCCCTTCGTTGCTAATATTTCTTCGCGCCAAGGCACGAATGAAAGAGCCGGGTGCGACGAACCTAACTGGTCTAGATCTCAGCATTAGCGATGCGAAGATGCTTACACGTTCGTCTTCCGCGAGAGAGACATTTCTACTCGGCGTATTCGCTCTCTCCTTCTCTTTCATCTCGTTCGATTGCAGCGTTCCATTTAGGTCGTCGCTGTCTGCTTCCCGGAGATGGCCTGAGAACCAGTTCCGTAAACGTCCCAGCGTAAACGCGACTGGAGCGACTCCGTCGCTCCCTCTTGGGACAGAGCATTCTCCTGGAACGAATAATTAGTTTTACCGTCTTGTTGTTTCCCGTAATCCAAACCCGAAAACTTTATATTTACATGAACGCTGGATAAATTGACGCTGCTGAGATAGCATAATATTGTAATGTTATCCAATATTAATTATTAAAATAAGTCGAACTTTGAAATCGCGAAATTTATTTTTTATTTTTTAATTTCATGTATATTATTTTATTACGAACTACTCTCTCTCTCTCTCTCTCTCTCTCTCTCTCTCTCTTTTCTCTCTCTCTCTGCGAGTAATGAGAGAAGGATTTGATTATATTTCTAAGTAACATGTATTATTTTTATTTCATTCATGGTTGGTTCAGTTGTTATTATAATTATTTTAGTAAGATAATTGTTTTGCTTAATATTTTGCAATATTATCTACTGCGTTTGTTTTATCTACTGCGTATTATTAAAAGAGATTATTGTGAAATTTGAAACTTGTCTGTTTTGATTGTTTTTTTTTTACACCGTGATGTTTCTCTTTGCCTAATTTAAATATATTTTGCTACGCCTTACACATTTCCATAGCGATTCGCAATCTGCGTGAGCTAGGTCGGCCGAAGACCTCCATAATCATGGTGAAATAAGCCCGCGCAGCTGGCTCGCTATTGTCCTGTATTACGTAAACTTCACTACTCTCCACCTGCATTATGCACCGACTTGCGAACTCGCGCACTGCAATTCGTGGACTCGTTGCCAGAAGCTCGTGCCCGGCATTCACAAAAATGAAAGCCCTTTCAGAAGTCTCTTGAAGAGTCCTATAATGAACCGTGGAAGGAGATTGCCCGCGTTTACCTATTTTAGGACGGGTTCTAAACGTAGACGGTTTTTATCTTTCCCCTTTTTTTTACGCAAGCGTTCTCTCGCCGTTTTCCATCTCTCTTTCCTTCATTTATTTTGCGCAACGAGTTCACCTCCGGCTCGATACGCTGCATTCCGTAATTGCGTGCGAACGAAAGTCTCAAAGTCGATAATTAAACGCCGCCGGTGAGAGAGCCTCACGCTTCCCTCTCCTCCTCCCTTCGGGAGACGAGGGTGAGAGGAGTCAAAGGCACGTAACGTCCAGGATTTGCCGACTTCGCCGTCCTATTTGCGCAATAATTTCGCGCGTGTAGCTTTTCCGCCGGCTGCATAAATGTCACGCTCGGTGGGTATGTTACGCCTTGACTCGAGAGTTAGCAAATTGGATTAAGCAGTGTATCCGGGGCTCAAGGAACTAATGGGTACTAGGGCCACCGGCTTCCGCTGACTATAAAGTTCGCTGGCTGGCTGGCTGGTTGGTTGGTTGGTTGGTTGGTTGGTTGGTTGGTTGGCTGGCGCCTACGCCGATGCCGGAGGTAACAGCAGGCGGCGGTGTGATTTCGGCTGTAGGGACTAGCTCATGTCGCTTTAAACTGTCATGCGTTGACAGCGGTCTACCGCCGCAGCGGGGATATCTACCAAGTTTATTATCGCCGACGCAAATCCTCGCGCGGTCGCGGTTCGGCCGCCACTGCGGTTCTTTTACGCGGATCAGAAATTCTCTCGCAGCTTTAACGCGGCGGATCCAACGCGCGGCGGAAAAACAAGGGGTATATCTACCACTCCTCCCGAGCGAAAATAATCCGAGGGGGAAAAAAATTTTCATTGAGGGAATAAAGTCACGGTGAACATTTCGAAAGTCATTTATTGCTCAACAAGTTTTTCCGAAATCGCGTTCTTGTGTTCTTGTGTTTCGAGCGCCTTAAGATGACCATTTCATTTCTCGAATGTATATGAAACGCAAAAAATAGGTCTTTTAAATACGCGTTATTTTACGTGATATTTGTCTTTGGCGATCGAATTGTATCAAATGTCATTGTTTATTACCTCGCCCAGCGAGTAAATGTTAATTAATCTGGATTTTGATTTACCATATTACCAATTTTGTATAACATATAGTTGATCATTCTCGCGTGGTAAATCTAAAATAGGCGAACTAATACATTTCGGTTGGAAATTGTACGAGACCGTCGATTAAACTTCAGATTATGTTGTTTGCGAGGAAACGGTTATGTCAAATGGCATGCGAAATACGGGAAATAGGAAACGCAATATACGCTCTGTTTCCGAAGTCCGTTATGGATTTCTGCGGCTGTTCGGCTTATCTTCTTTAACTTTATCGATTAGCGAGCGGCGTGCGAAATGGGTTAAGCAATGTATTAAGAGATCTCGACAGCTCGGGACGTACATGTGTAGACGATTGGATTTTCCGTTTGGAAACACATCGCGAATACGTGACTGGAGGTGAGTGCTACGCTTGTATGCTTGTATGCGTCTCGCAACAATACGACAGGATTGCCCCGCGGTAGGACTCTTTAATGGCGCATTAGAAGCACTCAGCGCTTCGCATACGCTCGTAACTCCTTCGGAGACACAATTATTAAATTACGCTTAATGGCCGCTAATAGCTTGGATTAAAATCGCCCGGAATTGTTGGAGAGACTTACTTGGGAGAAGGAGAGAAGGGGGAGGGAGAAATGGAGGCTTAAAAATACGGGGAGCGACTACGTGCATTGGGCAAGTTTCCGGAGAGCGTAGTTCGTCCAGTTCCTCAAAGTTCGGAGAAGCTCACCTGGCCGGTAATTCGCAAACTGAAGGCTAGATTCCGGAGAGACGGAGTTTCGTCGAAATCATTCATTGGAAGACGGCCGGGCAGAAACGGAACGGAACGGGGCAGGGGGAAACGGGCGAAGTGACCGTTTGCTACGAATGAATAAAGTTTCCAAACAAATTTCGCCGGGCGAGAGGACGTCGTTTGCAGCTTGGGATTCGCGGTAAACTACCGCGAAGGAACGCGCTTCGCCGCCATCAAACTCGACTTAGCCCCCTTAACGGGCGGAGGAAAAGAGGTTGGGGATTGACGTCGGGAAAGGCGTCATCGCGCGAGTTTGTGAGGTGCGCGCGGAAAGGAACTAGTGAAAAACTTGGAGTCGTCGCTAAATGCCGTAACTATCCCGCTTAAAACGCGGCAAATGCCCTCCGTGATGGGTATTAGCCGTTCTGTTCTGTCTGCGGGGACGGCTAACAAAATTGGATTCCGCCCACGGAACGGTGGTTACAACATCTCGTATGAATAAATTCATTCGCTCCGGTTCCACCCCGCCCGCCCTGCCCCTTACGCTCTATGATCTTCCCTTTATCCTTATGCCCTTTTAGCATTCATGTCGGAATGAGACTGTTCTCGGTGCATTTATTGCGCCGAGTCGCGCCGCACTGCGGCTACGGAACGGGGCCGCCGTTTAAAGTGTAATTCGAAAAATGGAAAATACGCCAGGTAGTCGCCTTTGATAATGTAATAGTTTGAATAATTGTTCCGGTAGTCGTCGCTCTCGCCGGAGCGAAAAGAGGAAGCGTGAAATTCACACCGCGAGCGAACCGCATTACGCAGTCGCGGAACGTGTAACACGCGTCGTTTCGGGGGTTAAACGTTCAACGCGATACAGCTACGTACATCTAAAGCGGTATTCAAACGATCACGATATTAATATTCTGTTAATCAAAGAAGATTGGGAAGATTATGGCCAGCTATGAGTAGATATGAATATTAATTTTAACTTAAGATATGAATATGAATAACTTTTTATTTTACCTCTTGAATCATAATAGAGTTCTAGAAGTAGTTAAAGAAATTTCGATCGTAACAAGTGCTACAGTTTTTTTTTTTTTTGCTCTTTGTCGTCACATCTAATCGTTCAATTTTGACGGTGAAAGAGTTAAGATGATATCACGATAGCGACGCCTTAGCAACGCGCGTCCGCGAATAAGTGTTATTACTCCACTTGTCGTAACCCGTGCGTCACACGTGTGCGTATGTGACATATCACTCTATTCGGTGTGTGGTTTTTAAATTAACCGACACTGCTTGCGCAACTTAATGAGCTTCGCTAATTAAGATGATGATGATGATGATGACATCCGTACAGTTGATAAGCATGTAATAACGAGCCTTTGCTAATTATTGCGTGTACTATACTGGCGTTTATCGCTTTTCATATTAGCCGGCATCAACTAGATAATTAACATGCAGGAATATATTAATATTGCAAATCACGCGTCACGTGAGAACTCGCGATGTAACTCAGTAGAATCGCGGAGAATTTCGAATATGTTGCTTTACCGTCTAAAATCGTGCAAATTTCCTTAATTAATTCGATGCACGTTTCATCCAAGTAGCTCTGCCGAGAAAAATACCGACGTCAAATGTTACGTAATAATGATTATAGTTTAAAAAGTTAAATCTCACGTCGCGATATAATTGCGGCGCTATCCGAGTTCTGCGACTTTTGTCACGATATCCACATTCCGGACAGGAAAAACGCGATTCGTGCCTGGCCGCAATCATTAAAGGAATTAACGTGCGCAAGAGATAACCGAGCTAAGGAGATTCACATTTCTAATTAGTCGTAGGAAGTCGCGATATCTCCTTTTATTTGCCGCCACTTGGGAGGAAAGAACGACGCGGAGGGCGGCAGGGCATTTGCATGAGAGATGTTCGAGAAATCGGCTGGCGGCCAAAGTAGCAAGACTTTGGCGAGGAAACTTCCGGTGGGGCAATATTCCATCCCGATATATCCGCAACGTATTCATAGTCGGCACGAAAATTGGGTTAACGTTTAATTCCGATAAAGGCTTCGTAATTCTCCTGGGGGAGAGATTGTGGAATCAGTTTGCTATTTTTTTTATTCACTTTCCGGAACTCTCTCTAATATCTGTATTTCAGAACCATATCTTTAATTACATTTACTTAGGACAAGATGGATCAATATATATGTGTGTGTGTGTGTGTGTGTGTGTGTGTGTGTGTGTGTGTGTGTGTGTGTGTGTGTGTGTGTGTGTGTACACACTCTGTTTTAAAAAAATCTGTATTTTTATCTAAAAACACCTCATAGGATCGTAGAAAGGTAGACTTCGTTAAAAATTATATAAATTTCCTTGGAATTCTTTTTTTAATTTAAAAGAGAGTTATGCCTGTTCTTTTCAGAAGTTAATATACGTATAGATATATGTAGCAATAAGTGACTTTAGCCCTCCGATAATGAACACAGGCACCGAGAAAAGAAATGATTTAAATCCTCAGTGTTCTCGCGTTCGCATGAAAACGTGTTTCCTCGCAGTCGGCGGTCGTTTCGAGATTCTTATTAAAACTTTGCGGCGCGGCACTCGTAACTCGTAGTTATGTTGCCCTGACTGCAAAGAGAGCGGTATATATGTTACATAGAACAGAGAAAGGAAAACGCTGGACACTGCGTGATGAGAAGAATAGGAGGCTTCGCTTAGGGAGGAAGATGTTGTATCAAGAACATGCGCGTTCACCGATGTGCCACCGAGGAGGCAAGTGGTTGCGGTAAGAACTCCTCATCATCCGCAAAAAACAGGCGACTTCTCTCTCTCTCTCTCTCTCTCTCTCTCTCTGTTTTTGTACAAGCAGGTTAAAAGAGCGACGCCGGCGGCGAAATTTTCATGCGGAAGGCGCCGCGAGAGGGAGAAAGAGAAGCGCGGTGATTGAAGCGTGCGATCTGTGTAATGACAGGTGCCTGCTATATATCGCAAGATTCGATCCCGACAATCGACCGGAGGGTAGCATCGACGTCTCGGGGACGGGAAACCGTGATCGATGGTTTGCGGACTGATCTCGGGGCTTTCGAGAGCAAAATGCATCGGGGTCGTAAGAGGATTTTCTGCATCGGGATCGTCGCCGATATGCCGTAGGGAGGTATGAAACAACGTCGGCTGCGCGATACGGAACGCAATGTCGTGCACCGCGTTATTTTTGCGTGACGACGAAACTCCCGGATTCCGTGCTTATCTCCGTCGCGACTGCGTGTGCGCCTCGAACGATATTTAACACAGGGAGACTTTAAAGTTCCGAAGGAACGTTCTCCATTGTCGCGTGCTGAAAGGCCGCATTTGAAGTGCAATGAATTACCCTTTGACGATCCGACTGGATGACGCGGTAATGCCGGGAAACATTCCAGGCAGGGAAATGTATATCGCCCTTGAAAGACTAAACTTCATTCGCGCGTTTCCAGATCCGTTTCTGCGCAGCGCAAGCTCTGAGAGGCGCCCATCCCTTCCCGTAACACTCGTAGCACTCGCGGCGGTAAGGAACCTTTGAGGTTCCTCCGATAGAGACTGATTTAATGCATTCGTATATGGGCGTGCATTCGTCCTCGTCCCTCTTTTTATTCCGAGGGCTTTTAAATGGCTGTCGAGCGGACGCGATTACCAGCAGCGGGTGCCTGCACGTCGTAACTAAAGCGCGCGGCAGTCATTTACACTTTCGCGTCGCCACGCATTTACCGTCGGTTCTCCGATCACGAGAAAAACGGGAACGACGTCGGCTTAATCCGCCTCTCTCTGTCTCCGTTTTTCCGTCAAGGTAGATCCCTCGTGTCGCGCGGCCACAAACGAAGTTGCTGGTTCGAGAAAGAGTACTTTCAGACGGAAGAATCGTTTCCTCGACGTGCTTCGTCAATGCCGCCGCATTACGCCCTTCAGACTTTTCTTATAAACTAGTGAAGCGACCCGAATCTTTTGCATGCTCCATTTTATTGGTATTCAATGAATGGAGGATTTCTATCTCTCGTCTGTGTAAAGTTGAATTTTACGGGAATATGAGGAGAAAGAAGTCGAAGGAGAAGAGACGCGATCCGCCGCGGTGGCATCATATATACATGCGTAATGTTATTAAGAGCGATGTTTTTATTCCCAAGACATCCCCCGGAGGCAATTACGTTGATTACCCACGCGATGCAACGACATATCCGTAGGCGCTAATCAGCTGCGCGCGCGAGGGAATGGTCGAATCACTCCGCTCGAACGAATGATTGATCATCGAACGAGCTGCACAGCCGAGGCACGAGGCATGTATTGCGCGTCATATTTCTCCACATCCACGCTACATCCGGAACTACCAGGCATTTCCCCTATCGCCCAGCTTAACGACTTTGGCGGAAATTCGCGCCTCGTGTTTAGCGTAACGAGGCCCTGTCTGATTCTGACATTTTGTTTGAGCACACACACACACACACACACACACACACACACACACACACACACACACACACACACACACACACACACACACACACACACACACACACACACACACACACACACACACGTGTACACGCTCGTATCTACGTTCGCGCGCGAAGCAAGCAGGGCAAGACAGATACGCCGAGCATGTCAACAGCGAATATGGGATATATTTGCCGCACTTAACCACTTAACCAACGTACATATATTCGCGTGACGTTAAGATGTTAACGTACGTGTACGATTTATCGTGACGTTTAATACGTGCGATATTACGACATATATTACGTTATTCAGATAACAACAAAATATTATTTTATGATTTTGCATTTTACGATTTTCTAATTGTAGATATCTTGTCTATCATCAAAAGATTCAACTTAGTTAAAGTAATAGTTAATTTTTATTTTAACCAAATTAAAGAAACTCATAATTATATACAATATCTGAGCTCAATCGAATTAAATTTTAAAATAAAGTTCTCTAATGATTTTTTTTAGTTGATTTCTGTTTGACAAAGATATTAGGGAAATTTATTACTTTAATTTATATCTCTTAGCTAGCATACATATCTCTCTTTTTCTTTTTCAGACATAATGACAGTTGATTCATCCAAGAATAATTAATAAAAATTTTCTTATCTGTTTATAATTTTAATTTGCAAAAACTTTAATATGTTATCTATTTTCATCGATGAAGTGAAATTTTGTCAAAGTTTTTTTTGGTACATCTCAAGAATTCTGTAAGAGATATAAAAAAAGAACGAATAAAATATTCGAAATTATTTATTAAAATGTAAGCAATTAGTGATATTTTTATAAGTGATATTTAATAAGATATTTGATAATAAGTGATATTTTTTGGATATTTAATTACTAAAATAATTACTAAAATTATTAATTAAAATAATCAATTCCATTTCCATTTAACTAATGATAATAAAATAAGAATAATTATATCTGGAATAAATTTAAAAAAAGTAAAAAGTACACATCGATAACTGTATAATTATAAATCCGGAGATTGCGAAAAGTAGAAATATGTTTCACAAGATATATAATCAAGTCGAAATTTAATGATCCAGTGATAGTATCGATTCGATTCGCACAAGGATTTTTTCTGTGAATGTGACGCTCTCTCGATATAACCAGATCGAAACGAGTTCATCGTCTCGTTCCGCGGATAAAAAATACTCTTACGATCAATTAAGGTGTGTTACCAAGCAAGATCTCGAGCCAAGGTTGATGCCAAGGTTGAAGCATCACTTTACGAACCTCATAAGTATCATCGGGACGACGTGGTCTCGTTTTAAAAATCGAGATTTATCAATGGGATCAATTCCGACGCGATGTTGTTAGACCGATCTTAAGACTGGAAGCGTGTACGGAGACAGGCCGATAATTTCCGTCAATGTGACGACAGAGCTGATAAACCAGTAATCAGCAAAGCGGATTCTGTATTGACTTAATAAGCTCTTCATATAAACCATTGAGTTCATACGTAAATTGGCACCATTATCAGTTCGTGCACTGAATGCAATCGATCGGATTTGCATTTTATACCTATATTTTGTTATGATAATTTTTGCTCTTGGTTATTAATACGCTGAAATGAGATGCGTTGTAAACCGTAGTCATGCTTGTAATATAAATAATTTAACTGTAATTTTAATTAATAACAAAGAAAGAGCAATATAGGAAGTGCGCCCCTTTTAATCCTTCTCTAAGAAATTATTCCATCCTCTGATTGGAAATACAAATTACCATTACGATAATTTAACACGTGCATATATTAATCCAATGATTTTAAAGGAATTGCAATTCACTTCTGTATAATTTTATAGCAGGCAGGATGCAGCCACACGCTTCTATACGACGCAAATAAATGTCAGCTGCTTAGATTACGATAGATAATTTGCAATTACTAATAACGGCTTGGTATAATAATAGATAGGCAGGTATGATGAGGACGAAATTTGGGGGCGCGCGCAAAGAAATCGTTTTTCAACAACACCATCTGTTTTTAGCGTAGTTGACAATCAAGCATTCGCACAGTCGTAATTAGCCCTGGGTGCATGGAGGGCTTTGGTATCTCTTCCCCGCCATATCTAAACGCATCTTCCCATCCTCCAAATTTCTTCCTTTTAAGAAATGGCTAATGCCATTCTAATATATTCCAAGTAACCGATTAGCGTGTTAATAACCTAATAAATATTACATAAATCGATGTTAGGGTAAATTTTATCAATCTCGCGCCGCCATCCTTTGCCTAGTTACGTCACTGGTCATTTAGTTGAAGTTCTACTGCTATATGATTATCTCGAGAATTACCGGACGGTAGCGGGATGCGCGCAGCGTCCAAAACGCATAATTCGTCGAAATAACAGGGTCAAAGCCGGAGGCGGTAATGCGTCCGGAA